GCAGCATACTGCTTCAGGCAGTTTAGTGTTAGGGCAGTTTCTGCGTTTGGGCAGTGTTAGTATTTGCGTTTCATGTTGCAAATACGTACAAAATAGCTAGATGATTGGAGGAGTGAAAATTTACTCACAGCAGGAGTATTTGAACCTTGGTCAGGTACGAGTGATCGACATAGATAATTAGGTCTGTGACCCTGTTGATAGTGGGAACCTCGAGCTATCAGGAGCTGAGTAGACTATTAAGGGACAAATGGGCAGGACTGAACGATGATATTTCAGTATGAGTGGTATGTTAGGGATTCAGATCATCTCGAGACAGCAAACTTCAGACGGAGTAGACGAGATATGGTTGCGAGGAATTCGTTCACCTGCGGATTGTAGGGCTTTGCGAAGATTGGTCACGGCTACCCTCGGAAGGCTAGGGCGTGCCCGGGATGATGACTATGTTACTAGAGTGGCTTGGTATGTAAGGATCGGTAAGGAATGATTTCGAGGACGAAATCTAATTTAAGTGGGGGAGAGTTGTAAAACCCCGTTTATTTATTAAATAAATAAATAAATTAATGAATAAATGGTAGTCCTAAAATAAATAATTATGTATGAAAGGATGGTCTCGAGGAGCTAACTGTAAAGATTTTAGAAGATGGGGATTGTTTGGTAAAAGATGGGACTTAATTTGAAAAGGGTTTTCGAGTTCAGGGTTTAAATGGTAACTATGGGGGTTTATTTTGAAAGAAAAGGGACTGGAGGGACTAAAGATGGTATTATGGAAAGTAGCTAAGGGGACCGAGTATATAAACCCATCACCCATTCTTGAACCCTAACCCTAAGAAGATATGTTCAGCCGCCACCCATACAAGTGACCAGCCTCGACCGCCACCTTACCCTCCTTCTTCATCTCCGATCTGGTGCCACCATCATCTACTTCGTTCGTTCTTCTGGCCGCCCAGCATCATCGGGTAGTCCTCTTCACCGTCAACATCGGAGACCGTCTAGGGGTGGAAGAGAGCATCCTGACGCTGCTGCTTCGTCGAAGTTTCATTGCTGTCGGTGACACCGTAAATGATAGGGACCACTGAGACCGGGTTTTTGCGCTGTAACGGAGAAGGGTAAGCTGTGAAGTCGATGTCTAGTTTCGAGCGGTGGAGGTCCGAGATAGCCTAGTCGTTGCTGCTATTTGGATGTCGGATGAAAACCTCCCTGTTGTATTATTCCTCTCCTTCTCCGCTTCTGCCCGGTTTTGTGATGCTTTGGTATCCCGATGAATACTCTTTCGTTTTCTATTCGTTTTGCTTCACACCACCGCAGGGGTGGCCGGTGCTGGTGCGTGTTCAAAGATGGATGTGCGAGTTTTGATGCTATGGGCGTGTGTTTCTTGACTGAGAATCAACAGAACTGCCACCACCACCATGAGGTGGTGGCTGTTATCGCAAGAGTTGTTGCTGCCGCCGCCATGTGCCACCAGGCGGGTGGTTGGCTTCCCTTTCCGAGCAAAAGACATGAAGGTGGGTGTGTTGCAGTTGGTGAGTGGATGTGTGGATGGCTAGAATTCCTGGAAAAGGCATCACCACCACCATAGGTTGGTGGCTGCCGCCATGTGCCGCCTGTATATGTGTGTTTATTTTAGTATAGTGTGTGTGTGTGTTATTTCGTGAGATCATTGTAATTATAAAAATTGGAATAGTGGAAAGAAATCTCAAACCACCACCGTAGGGTGGTGGCTGCCGCTACCGGCCGCCGTGTTGGGTGACGGTGTGCTTTGATGGTGTTTGGACTCGTTTGGATGATTAGACAAGGGACCAAGAAACCCTAATGGGCCCAATGAGGCTTAATGGACTTAATAAACCCTAATGGGCCCAATAATGATTAATGGACCCAAAAGCCCAAACATGTGACTAATGGTTGTAATAAACCCTAATTGGCCTAAGGAAAACCCTAATGGGCTTAATGATATTTTAGTGGGCTTAATAGGCCCAATAAAGCCCTAATTGATCTAGAAGCCTAACAAGTTGATAAATGGGCTAATAATTGGATTGGAAAACCCTAATGCCAATGAAACCCTAACATTAAGAATTAATCGGGTCACTAAGCTTTGTGCTTACGGTTTTCAGTTTTGGTTTCAGGTACTTTGTGTTTAAAGGAAAGGAGCCAGCTTGATCGCAACACATCATACTATGGTTTTCCGCACATGAGATCTTTGGGATTACACTCTGATATTGTTTTATGATAACATGTTTAATTATTTCTACTTTGGTTTTGACATGACATGACATTACAAATGTTTTATTACACTGTTGGTTTTATAATGATGTATTTAAAAGTGAAAATTTTGGCATGTATTTTTGGGATGTTACATAAACACTTATTCAGATTTTGGCAAACCTCTACGTATGCCCAACGTAAATCCAGTATGCTTATCGTACTGGGTCAACCACCCCAATGGTGGTCAACATCAGGACGAGTACGCCCATCATACAAGAGGAGTACGCCCCGTGTACGTCCTCTTTTGGGCCTTTAACAATTAGGCTTCGGGTTTTGGGCTGTTTATGGACTAGTTGGATTTGGGCCTTTGCTGGACTTTTTGAATATAATGTTTTGGGCCAAGTTTTGATAATGAATCTTGGAATTAGACCCAATCAGGGAGTTTGGCCCAATTTGGTAAATTAGGCCAATAATGGGTTTTGCATAAAGGACTTTCAAGGTTATGGACTTGGCATTGGGCCTTGGCCCAATAAAGAGAATGGACATGATGGATTGTGTGGACCCTTAGTCAAGATTGTTATGTTGTGTAATGACTTGGTATTTATTATGTGATAGTTCAGGATTTCCGGTGAGACAACGATCAGAGGTTTTCAGTACTTCGACACTACTTGCGAGGTGAGTTACCTCACTATACTAAGGGGTCTAAGGCACCAATGTTGGCTCATTGGATATGATATCCTAGCGGTTGGTAGTATGTTGAGTATGGGTTAGTGTTGCATGCTAATTGCTATGCCATTTAGGTAGATATGTAGGACTACCTGTAGTATTATGTGATTATCTGTATGCACATTAGTTGTGTTATATGTCGACATATTATGTATGATGGGTTGAGGTGATACTGCTTTGTGCGATAACCAACAAACCCATGAGCATTCCAGATACGAGCTCAGGGCCAAGTGGGGCATGCCAAACTCGTACTTGGGCTCGAAAGCATTCCAGATACGAGCTGAGGGAAACTCGTATTGTAGGCTCGGGAGCATTCCAAATACGAGCTGAGGGAGACTCGTACTGTGGGCTCGGTGGCAATCTAGATGTGAGTTGTGGGCCCGGAAGGCAATCCAGACTCACACTATGGGCCCAGGGGTAATCCACTCTGTAAAGTTGTGGACCCAATACACGCTATTATTTGTATATGTGTTATGTGCAGTGTATCAGTATTTTGGGGGAACTTACTAAACCTCGAGCTTACAGTTTCAATTTATTGTTTAGGTAAATCAGGTGATCGCGGGAAGGCAAAGACGTGATCATACAATTCCTCATATTTATGTTTCTGGGATACTATGATATTATACATTTTGAAAACAAGTTTGTAATGATTAATGATTTTGAAATGTTTTTAAAAGTTTAAATTTGACATGATTAAACAACATGATTGTAATTAGATGTAGACTCAATCAAAAGTTCTAACTTAGTCAACATTATCAGTCATCAACTATAAAACAACTCTAAGTTTCATCTTAACAAATTATAGGAATATAAAATTAAACTACTCCTCCAATTTTAAAGTGTTTAAGGCATGCCACTATATGCCCCATCTATAATAAATTTATAATGAAGAATATTTAAATTATATTAATATCATTATAACGGTTTATCTGATTGACATTATAACATGTATGCAATAACAATTATACCAAAACATAAACTTATAAATTTGTACAAGCAACCAAGAGTTTGTTTCACAATTCTAAGAAAAAAAAAATTGAACTAAGATGTATAGAAAAAATATTGAAACAAAGACATTTATATTGTATTGAACTCAGTAAAATGTAACGAATGATTCTATTATTATTAAAATGTAACGAACGATTCTACTATTATGTAAGTGAACACACTGAATCATATTTAAAATTGTCTATAGTACATTTAACTCTATATAATTCAATAAAACATATTTAAAAATTGGATTTTTTTTTTCTACTCATTAAACTCTAAATTCATTGAACATTAACTTATTATTCTACTATTGTGTAGTTTTAACGCATTGAATCACAAGTAGATAATAGAATCAATTCAATTCTATTATATATGGATCTATAAATTTGACTATTTTATACTAGTATGACCATAAAATAATGATTTATATCTAATATCATAATATAAATAATCGGTTTTGGTAAGAATTCAAAAGTTTTAGGAAATGAAAACAAAATTAGGATTGAAATAAGAAAAAGTTGACCATAATAGCTAATCTCTCCACGGTTTTTCAAAAAATAGCCAAAATTTTCACAAAAACCAAAAATAGTCATGGTTTTTATAGGTGCCTAATGAAATCGTTTTTTTCAACTTCAAACATTTCTAATTATTTAATACGAACTTCGTTTGAGCTAAAAAAAAATTTATTATGTTCCTTGTAATAAAAGTTATCAATAAACATATTGCACTTTAAATTTGTATGCCGAAAAATCACACTTTTTATATCAAAAGTAGACTACTCAGTAAAATATAGTGGAAAAAAAATTAACTTTAATCATTCATAATTTTTTGTTATGAACTTCATTTAAACTTATTCTTTTTATTATGATTTTTATAACAAAGTCTGTATGTAAATATATCACACTCCAATTTTAAATGTCGAAAAATCATATTTTTTAAGCTCTTACTACAAAGGCGGCTTGCAAATATCTAAAAAAAAAAAATTAAAAAAAAACACATACTACCTAGATTTTCATAGCTGTTTGCCAATGAAAATTAAAAAAAATCAAAAAAAAAAAAAAGAAAGAAAATATTTCACAGGCCATCTAGATTTTAGCATATAGTAACCTGCAAAATGGTTATTATGAAAATTTTCTATTTTATGTAAAACCTTAGCTATTATGTTCATTTTTTCTTAAAATAATTAGATATTTAAATTAAAAAATAAGCAAGAAAGATTAATAATACTAAATGCTATAAACCCTAGAAATTGTCGCAACGGCTTATTTCCTGCTAACTACCAACAAATCCCTTGAAATCCTATCCCTGAGGATCAAAGCAAATCCTTTCAATCGTCTTCTTCCACGATTGATGGAGGTATCAAATTTCACTACTCTGTCAGGGCGACCTGGGATTATCCGACCAACCTTTATCAACAATGTAAGCACACATATCCTATTTCCTCCAAACCATTATCTCCTAAGTTTTTGATTTCACTACGAGATTTCTGCGGCTGTTTATCTTAGCTGTTACTATAGAATTTACTTGGGTTCTTGAGATCGTAGCACCTTTTACTACTGTCTGCAACATCAATTTCTTGCTTTTGATCATTTAGCATCTTGACTTCTAGATTTTTGACTTTAAACATTATGCAAAGCTCGAAGAATAGGAGAAGAGTTTTACTATTAGATGATAAAACTTTATACCCTCTTTCTTGTAAAGGAACTACCCTTTGATCTGATTTTGGATCTAGTATTTGTCATATAGAAAAATGACAATTTGAAAGTTTTCTAGAGAAGTCAAACTGTTATGCTTCTTTCTCATCTGTATCATGTATCTTTTTTATTTTTATTTGATGATGAGATTAAGATGTAGTACACATAATATTACTTCAAAAACAACATTCTTTAAGAGACTCATCCATTGTACTCCTTTATTGCCAGATCTTGAGCCCTTCTATAGCATACCCTTCAAAAACCTTCCCTCCAAATATCTAAATATATGTAACATGAAAAGTTAAAATCTTCCTTCTTTTTGGGAAAAGAGGAAAACTGTTTTCTACTTTATTTCAGACCAATAGAAGTTGCGTGACATATGTGAGATTTCTTGTTCTGTTTCAGCACTTACATGATTTTAAAATGCAAGAAATAACAACACAGTTTCATTTATTTGTGTATATATATCTAATGCTAGTCCTTTTAATTCTTAGGTGAGTTGGTGTAATAACAAGGAATTTAGTAGCATACCCTGTTCTTGTGTAAGTTCTTTTGGTGAAAAAGATAAACTTTCCTTGCAGTCTTCTTGGAAGCAATACAAATTGGTTGCAATCTGGAAACCTAAAAGAGAAATGAAGCTTAAACATTTTTCTGGTTCTCATTTCAATCAGCAAAAGGGAATTCCTAGTAAGCTTTCTTTACTTTTTACCTTCTCTCAGAAAAAAATAAATAAAACATTTTGCCTTGTCTTGTATTGTACTGTCATGGCATGTCCTGTGTACTGCATCTGTCTAATTTCGTACTTGTTCAGTGCAGTACCTTTGAGACACACATCTCCACATTTCCCAAAACCATGTCAAGTGAAAAGAGAAGATTCGGATAAAACCCTAAGCGGCGAAAGCATCATATACGACGAACAAACCCTAGAACAACAACTCCAAATCGCCATTCGCGATGAAAACTACACACAAGCCGCCAAAATCCGGGACAACCTTAAACTCCTCCAAGAAGACAGCAAAACCGCCGTCTTAGCCGCTAATTCCCGATTCTACAACTCGTTCAGAAACGGTGATTTAGCCGCCATGCAAGAACTATGGTCGAAAAATGAAAACGTGTGTGTGGTGCACCCGGGTGTTAGTGGGATTTCGGGGTATGAACTTGTGATGGGAAGTTGGGAATTTGTGTGGGCTGATTATGAGTTTCCATTATCGATTGATGTGAAGGATGTGCAAGTTTATGTGAAAGGTGAGATGGGGTATGTTACTTGTGTTGAAATGGTGAGAACAACGGGTAAAAGTTGGGGAAGACAGTTTGCGACTAATGTGTTTGAGAAGATTGATGGGAGGTGGTGTATGTGTGTTCATCATGCTTCTCATGTTGATTTGTGAAAAAGTTGAGTGTTGTGGTTGAAATTGATCATAAGCATAGTTTAAGTTGAGAATAAGTTGCAATAATTAATCATCTAGATGGTGTTTGATGTGTATTTTTGGTATAAAAAGGTTATGTAATGTAATGAATAATTTTGTTAAATTTTGTGGTTTATATCTATAGACTATGATAGTGCATGTGTAAAATGATTCGAAATGGTCTTTTAGTTAACTTTTTTGGTTTTGAAATTTGTTTGGATGGTTGGTTACAACTTAAAAGTTAGAAGTGACATTGTTGAAGTAAAAGCTTTTGTATGGAATTATTGATTTAATTATTTAACATAACTATTTTGTTAACTTTCATTCATCATACTTTAGCCACATTACTAACTTTTATTCTTTGGACTCGGCACATCAATTCGAAGCTCACGACAATAGCCTCTCAGAATTTCGTCGAACAAAACAATATGTTTTTACATTGTTTTTTGTCCTTAGTTATACAAGGAATATATAAGGAATAATCTGATAATTTTAACAATCAATTTTCTTTTATAATAATATTACGAGTTAACTTCAATAAAGAAATAATACTTATTAGCATTTCTCATAAAACAAAAATCTTTTTTTTTTCTTACCAAAAAACACCCAACATTTTTATTAATATTATTTCCTTTGGAAAGCCGGTTTCAAGGGTACCAACCGGTAACCCTCGCTGACTTGGCATTCACCAATAAGTGTTACTCGTTAGAGAATAAGTGTTACTCGTTAGAGAAATGAGAAATTAAATTACCTCCTACCATTTTTTCCTACCCACTTAAATCAACCCATTTGTCATCTCTTTTCCACCTCATCTAATTTATTAAGATATCCCTAAAATATCCTCAGAGATAATTTAAAAAGAAAAGAAAAAGAAAATCACGTAATCTACCTTCATCTCCAACGTATCCAAGCTTTCTTTCCGGCTGGTATGTTCCAGTCTACTTCAATCGACATCTTCAATCCCGAAATTCTCAGAACAAATCGACCTCTTCAAACCCAAAAAGCATGTTAATTTTACCCTTATGATTGAAACCTCCTTCCAGCCAAATAGGGGAAGATTCCAATTCTCGGAGGTGCTACTCCTTACATGTTGCGGTGTTGCTAGGGAAGATGAAGAATCAGATGGTCAGAGTTATGGGTGGTTAATTTCAATATCAAAACGATTTCTAGGGTTTGTTTCAGGGGATTAGGACTGATTCTTGGTGGGATAAATGGAGGATCTTGATGGTTTATAACCAGGTATAGGATTTCATAGATTAGGGTCGGTTCTTCTCTATGTTTTCCCTTTTCCTGGCTTGTGTTATTTTCTTTTTACAATTCAACACAGTTCGGTCTCCTACATTAGACGTTGATCATGAATTTGAGAAGCTTGTTAATTGTATGCATCTACAGAGGTAATAACACTTCTTTCCATTGGTTGTTTCCTAACCAACTTAAATTCCTTCATTTTTCGTGTTTTGTAACCGGGTATTCGAAACACTTAGATTATTAATGAAGGTATCCTCAAATGGCACCTTAAAAGTACTGTGGAATTAGTTCTATAAATATAAATATGGAAACAAGCTTTTAGAAGATAATGTTACAGATCATATCCAACAGATATCAACAGAATGCAGGAACCCGAATTCCAACTTTTTCCAAACTTCATTCGGAATGGATCACACATAAAGGGATATTTTGTTTGGTCCTTCTTGGATCTATTTGAGGCTATCGGTGGCTTTACTTATGGTTTTGGTCTGTGATCCGGATGATAAAGAGTTTACACGAAGGTGATAAGTTGGAAATCAATTCATAAGAAGAATGTTCTATTGTTTATACGAGATTGGTTTAATATAGCAATGTAAATTCGGATTAAGTTTGTTATGAGATGTAGTTATATGAAAAATGTTCTATTCTTATCTTTTGAACCCTGTGATAGTCATTATTGAGATTGTTTATGCTAGATTGGTTTAATATAGCAATGTAGTTTACTTTTGTAAACACTTTACATGAGTTGTATTTTTGTATCTGGAATCAAATATTCATTAGTTTCATTTCTCATTTAGGACACAAATGCCCTTGAATTTGTTCTTTGTAAACCTGGAAAAAAAATGTACAAAGCTTCCATTTTGTAAATCTGGACAAAAATGCCCTTGAGTTAGAATGCGCATAACTCAGTCAACTGAAGTCGGATTTACTTGATTTTTTTTCAGCATGTAGTTTAGAGTTTGTGCTTCGTTTTAGAACGTACAAACACATTTTTTGGTTACAAATTGAATCAGATATAGGCCCGGAAAGACTGCGTATCAATGCTGTTTAATTTCTGTTTCAGCACTTACTTTTTTTTTTTTTTGGCAATCTGTCCCCCTTTTAAAAATGCACATAACTCAGTCATATGAAGTCGGATTTACTTGATTTTTTTTCCAGCATGTAGTTTAGAGTTTGTACTTCATTTTAGACTATACAAACACATCTTTTGGTTACATATTGAATCAGATATAAGCTCGGAAAGAATGCGTATCAATGCTGTTTAATTTCTGTTTCAGCACTTACTTTTTTTTTTTTTTTTTTTTTGCAATCTGTCCCCCTTTTAAAAATGCACATAACTTAGTCATATGAAATCGGATTTACTTGATTTTTTTTCCAGCATGTAGTTTAGATTTTGTACTTCATTTTAGACTATACAAACATATCTTTTGGTTACATATTGAATCAGATATAGGCCCGGAAAGACTGCATATCAATGTTGTTTTAATTTATGTTTCAGCACTTACTTTTTTTTTTTTTTTTTTTGCAATCTGTCCCTCTACTCATCTTCTTGTAACATATTTTGATCCTAAATAAAATAAAATCATAATTATTCAATAAAGAACCAATGTACCCTTTATTTAGAAAGCAAGAAGTGCAATTCGTAACACTATCACAATGTCATTCGGTTCTTTCAAAATCATTAAAAGCAAATTAAATGAAACTAAAAATTAATCTTTTTTCAAAAAACCTATTTTATACTATTCCCATCTACTCCTCGGTCTTTATCATTCAAACCGGTAAATTAAGATCAAACTGGCAGTTCGGCTCGTTATTATAGGAATTTGCTCCATGCTCACGACTTGAATCCATTTGATCTTGTTGTATGTTGTTTGTTTTTTCACGTACCTAAAAAAACTCGGTAATTATAAACTACGTTAACCAAATTAAAAAATATAAAAAACTAAATAGATAAAATATTACATTTTTCTTTGTTTTCTTCTTGATAACTTGTTCTAATCTAGATTCTTTTCTTTTTGATGGTGGACGGCCTTTACTACGCACTTGCAAGGGTGGTAACAACTTCGTAGTCGAGTCTGAAACACGAACATCTTCAACTACCAAATTGATGTTACTACTACAACCCCAAATTGAATCATCATTTAACTTTTCTTTAGCCATATTTACACAACTTAGCAAGTATTGATACTTTTCGTGGGAATTAGCAATATGCGCAACCTCGTAAAAATTGGAACACAAGTGGTCAAATTGTTTAGCATTTTCACCACTCATCAAATCTTCATAACAATTTATCACTAAGTAGTGTCCATGCTTCACATCTTTCCTCCACCGAGACAAAATATACCGTGGATGGATTTCTTTAACATCCTTCTCAATCAATATTTTCACTACATGCCTACAAATAATTCCTCGAAACTCAAACAAATGACAAGAACATTGTATATCACATTCAGTCTCATCATAACTAACGATATAAACAACTCTTTTTTTAGAATCTCCATGTTTCCCTTCCACAATATCTGTGACATGAAATACATAGCGAGCACCATCTATTTTGACCAATGAAGAATTGCAAAACAACATACCTCGCAACTCATCTTGAAACAACTTAAATATTGCATTTGTGTATGCTTCCTGAAACTGTCTCTCAAAATAAAACCCAGTTACTAATTTATATGAACAATTGAGAGACTCAAAATCTGCCTTATTTTCTTTTTCAATCTTGCTTTTCAGTGCATTGTCATATTGCTCAACAAATTGTCGTAATGAGGTTTTAGAATTAACATACGCATCAAAAAAAGCATTCATGCTTTCACTTCTTTGCGTAGTAGACATCCCTACCCAAAAGTTTTCTTTTACATATATCGGCACCCAACGCATTCGCTCGTTAAATAAAGAACTTAACCACTCATTTTTTTCAAGTGCATACTTTTCAACCAGCTTGCACCAGCCATCTTCAAACTCTTGAGTGTTCGTAGACTCATATACAAGGGTTTTTAGAGTCTTCTTTATTACTTTATATTGAGGCAACCTACTTAACTTTTCAGGAATCTTTTTCATAATATGCCAAAGACAAAGACGATGATGAGATTCAGGGAATACCTGTGCAACAGCTCCTTGCATTGATCGACATTGATCTGTTATTATTGCTTTTGGTGCCCGTCCATGCATGCATTCTAACCATGACTTGAATAACCATACATATGTTTCTATGTCCTCTCGTGAAAGCAAACCACATCCAAATAAGATAGATTGCCCATGGTGATTTACTCCAACAAAAGGCGCAAACGGCATATTATATTTGTTAGTCAAATATGTGCTATCAAACGAAATAACATCCCCGAATGACTCGTATGCTGCCCTTGACCTTGCATCTGCCCAAAATACATTTCGCATACGACCTTCATCATCCATATCAATCACGTAGAAAAAATTTGAACTCCTTTTTTGCATACGGACAAAATAATTACGAAGTGCCTCGGCATCCCCAAGCCCAAGTCTTAGTTGTCTTACTTTTGTGATGTAAGATCTACAATCTGTCTCGCCAAAAGGCAAATTATCATACCCTTTCGCTTCAACAACTAACGAGTGAAAACTTTTATTTAACGGAATTCCAGCATAATCATTCAATTCAAGTCTTCTCTTAGCATATGAATCCATTTTCTTATGTGATCGTTGGAAACGAGATTTTTTGGGACTTAAAGCATGATTATGTTCAAGAAAAACACTAGAGATAATGCATCTTCCATCACCATATGCAATTACGCTAATTTTTGCTTTACAATTTGTTTTAGTGGTCTTTTTATATGGTTTGCTTGTTTTAGGAACATATACCCCCCCTCTAGCACATCCAAGTGAATAGTATGTTTTAGCACAAGAATCTTTTGTTCTTGTACTAGATTTCCGTATACCAAATCCAGTCTGGAATGCATATGTTTTAAAGTAATTGTAAAGGTCTTCTTCTGAATCAAACTTCATTCCATCTTTAGGAATTTTTTGATCTTGAGGATTAAGAATTGTATGCCCTTCAACTGAATTTGCAGCCTTTTCAACTGAAATTGCAACATTTTCTACTGAATTTGCAGTCTCTTCAACTGAATTTGAAGCCTCCATACTGATCAAATATCGAATATTTTATTAACAACAAACCAAAGATTTTATCAATAATTAAGCAGAGACCATCCCAAAATTTTATTAATATATTTTTTGTAAATTTTAAATTAATTTTGTTAATATACTATGTAATGAATATGATTTTGTAAAATATAACCACGGTTGTAAACCTTATTAGAAATCTTATGAATATTATAAAATAATTTGAGAAAACATTATATTATTAAAGGAAGTCAATTTTAGTTTGTACGTTACTTTGGCTTTAAGCTTCTCAATGAATTAAACTATATAAATACGAATTATGAGCATTCATTGCAAATACCTGATTGTTGCCGATAGTTTGCCTTATTGATTGTTGATGCTGTTGCTGGCTTTGCAATTGTCGTGGGCAATATGATAGACGAGAATAAGGGTTTGACAAGGAATTGGTATCTGCGTTACGTGATTTTTTTTTTTTTCTTTTTTCTCAATTACCTTATCAAGGGCACTATAGGAATATCAAATTAAATTAGATGAGATGGAATATTGATGACAAATGGTGTAATTTTAGTGGGTAGATATATTAGTAGGAAGAAATGGGAGGAATCAATTTAATTTCTCTACTCATTATCATCAAGATGGGCTATGTTATCATCAATTCATCATCATCAAGATGTTCACCTATTTCACAAAACTCATAACTCATTGATTTTCACAAAGGGTTATAAGAAATAAGTCGTTAGACAAATTGAATGTTTGCAACTATGACCACTTCCCTTTCGTAATCCATGGGGATATATTTTTTTTAAAGCACCTCATGATCGAATTCCAATTCATAATCAATTAATTAGGATCATCAGTCTTTAATTTTTTTCCCCTTATTTTCCTTGCTTGATTCTTGATGCCATTTCAAGACCCTAACGTGCTTATGGTTTGAGAGAGTTTAAATTTCGTTTTGTACTTTCTCCTTATTGTCCGAATGTAAAGAGAAAGTTTAGCTTTTGACTTTTGGATTCTAACATATATACACACATATACTTTGTCAACTATAAAATCTGTTGTCTCCATGACTACGCCCAAATCTATATGATTTTGCAAATTGTTTTCCGCCATAAGAAATTTCGCAAACTGATATACTTTCGCATAATTCATTTTACAAAAAAAAAAAAAAAAAAAAGTCATATTTAATGATAGTATTTTTATGAATAAACCATTAAAAAATATGATAACAAGTCCACCGATTCCTAGAAATGAATCAACAGACTGAAAGTTTTGGTCTGAAAAATCTTAAGAAATAGCAACGAACAAGAGGGGAAGTGGAAAGGAGATGTGAATATAATTGTCAACAATACATACATCATAATTAAACATCATGGCCTCCAGTGGAATAAACATTATCATCATCATCAATATTCAATCATCATCATCATATCATCATCGTCATCATCCTCTTGAGGTTTTAACGTTTTTTTCAAACCCTTTTTGCCCTTAAAAACAATACTAATTTTAAGAAAAGAGATATAGGGTTATAGGGTTATTACTTGGCCATCATAACCTTAACGAACTCCTCGTAGTTGATTTGGCCATCACCATCAACATCAGCTTCCCTGATCATCTCATCGACTTCTTCATCAGTAAGCTTTTCCCCAAGATTCGTCATCACATGACGCAGCTCCGCAGCAGAAATGAAGCCGTTCTGATCCTTGTCAAAAACTCTGAACGCCTCCTTCAGTTCTTCCTCGGAATCTGTGTCCTTCATCTTCCTCGCCATCAGATTTAGAAACTCCGGGAAATCAATTGTTCCGTTTCCGTCAGCATCAACTTCGTTTATCATGTCCTGGAGTTCAGCCTCCGTCGGATTCTGCCCTAGGGATCTCATCACAGTCCCGAGCTCCTTTGTGGTGATGCAACCTATATATTCATGCCAGTTTTCAAATCAATTTTCGAATTCGACTAAATAATTGAAGGATTTTTGTTTTTATGATTCTATTCCAGACCAAAATCATTGAATATATTCAACCAATTTTACAAGAAAACACGGAATTCCCTGTTCGGGATGTACGGACAAGGCATTTGCCCCATTAAGAAATGATATATAATCATCAGAATATCAGATCAACTATTAATTAAATGAATCCAGATAGGCTAACGATGATTACTCAATTCAATCCCGATATGTGTTGCTCACTTATCTATTTGTTTTTCTTTCTAATTTTGTCAATACATCGACGATCCAAATCACAACCTATCCAGAAAAAGCAATTTCGAATTGTTTACGAAATTCAAAAGGCAAATCGTGATCTAAATCAGATGAAGACAAACTCGCTCAAAAAAAACGTCGAATGACATCTATATAAAGCTTATCAGAAACTATGAATAGGATTCTATGGAGAAACACCATGAAGAACACAAATCAATAACAAAACAGTCACATAAGGGAAGACGTAACATACCGTCGCCATCCTTGTCAAATAGGCTGAAGGCTTCCTTGAACTCAGAGATCTGATCATCGGTGAGCTGCTCCGCCATTTGTTGGTTGTTTGGGAGGTGGAGAAGTGGGAAGTAGAGAGCGAGCGAGAGAGAAAAATCAAAAATGGGGGAATGAAATGGAAAAAAGAATGGCGTTTGGCTTTAGCGTTATATACCAGCGAATGGGATATTAGTGGTGTTCCTTGATTTCCTTTGGCTTTTGCATCCGGACGTGATCGGTTTATCAAATTCGTTACATCCGCCTTCATCGCCCTGCCCTCGTCTCCCATCTCTTTTTACAAAACAACTAATAATTCATTTGATTATTAAATTTTAAATAATTGATACATGGATATTCACAAAAACATATCAAATCTTATTGCGGAATATAGGAAAATGATTAAATTTTTAGGATTTGCAAACTTACCATTTCCAAAATGTTATGTTGTGGGACTAAAAATATATTGGATCTGGGAGAAGAGATGAACAAATATCATTTTCAATTTACTTTTAATGGTTTGGTTTTTCTAAACATGAAAAAAAATATATGAGTTTTTTTAAAGATTGGTATCGATCCAATTTTCCTTTACTTTTTTCTTTTCATCCATGTTCAAGCCGGTACGGGTCGGTTATTTCATGGTTTTAAAAGATATGTAACGGTGTAGCCGTTATGAAAATGTTTAACATGAGTTTGTTAAGCGTGACGGTCAAATAACTTGTTAAGGCGTGTCTTATCGCATTATGAGGTGAGTTTTTTATCAAGACGCGAGATTTCTTTTTTCTAATCGGACCTAAAACAATTGACTTTTTTGTTAATTTTTTCATATTAAATGATAATATAACACTTCTAAAACATGATATATTTGATATAATTCGGGTAAATAGCACTGAAATTCTAATTTAACACTGTATGTTTTTTTTTGTCTCAAATTTGACATTATGTTTTCAAAAATTTACATTTCTGACCACTTGACCGATCAACTCGGTTACCTGTTGATGTGACATGATAACGTGTCAGTTTTGATGATGTGACATGCTGACGTGTAAAAATTGAAATTTTTTCCCACAAAAGACATTAAGTTTTCATTTTTTTTTTAATTTTCGAATCATGTTTAATTTTTTCATTCAATTTTGACACTTTATTTTTTTTGTTCTAAATCAAACATATATATATATATATATATATATATATATATATATATATATATATATATATATATATATATATATATATATATATATATATATATATATATATATATATATATATATATATATATTAATTTTGTTCAATGTTAACCATTTTCCATTTGAATATCTGTAATTGATCAAAGCTCAAATGTCAGGTTTACAACCAGTAAAATTTTTACATTTTATTCAAAATTTATGGTTAGTTTGGCTCTCATGATATAACTAATGCATATTTATGCATAACATTATGCTTTGAATGTAAAAAAACATGTATTTATATAAAAATGTTGGTTTTTAAACGATATATATATATATATATATATATATATATATATATATATATATATATATATTTATAGAGTTTAAAATGTAATAAAAAATATATTTATACGGTTTCAAACAATAAATGATTAACATTGAACAAAAATGGAAAAATAATGTTCGATTTGGAACAAAAAAAAAAGAGTATTAAAATTGAAAGAAAAAAAAATTAAAATTAGTGTCAAAATCGAAAAAAATGAAAAAAGTTAGTGTCTTTTGTGGAAAAAAATTCAATTTTAGCACGTCAGTATGCTACATTATCAAAAATGACACGTCATCATGCCAAGATAACTGGGTTGACCAGTCAAGCGGTCAGAATTGTAAAAAATTGGAAAATACAGTGTCAAATTTGAAAAAAAAAAAACACAATGTCAAATTAGAATTTTGGTGTAAACTTAGTGTCTTTTGTGCTATTTACCTATATAATTATATAATTATATGATTTATCTGTTTTAATGTATATAAAATTATCACGCATTGAAAAACGTTATGGATCACCAAGGCTCACCATAACATAGGTTTAACCTTGTTGTTAAGTCACGCTACACGCCATTTAGAACCTTGACTTTTTTCATCGTGAATGAACTTTCTTTTGCATAAAATAAATTGTTAATATTTTTATGTAATATATTTTTTTCATAATACCTACAAGAATATATTTCTTTTTTAATTGTATATTACTTATAATTTCGAAGTGCACATATAGTTTTAAAAGTGAAATATATATGTTGCTTAGTTCGCAGGATGTTTGTAAAGGAATTAGAATTAGAATTAGAAAAAGAATCTATCATGAATTTGAATCCAATTCTATATACTATTTGGTTGACAAGAAATGAAATTAGAATTAATTCCAAATTCTATTTGGTTGATAGAAAATGAAATTGTAATCCATGTAAAATGATATAATTGCTCTTTTTTTATCTGGTTTAATTAAGTTTACCTTGTTTTCTATCTTAGATGTATAGATATATTATATAAACTATATAATAGTATATTTTCATTTTATTAATTGAGCATTCATGTCCTTGGCAATGGTAGGTGGTGGTGGTCGGGATGGTGACGGTGACGATAGTAGGTGGTGGTGGTGGTGGTAGTAGTAGCGGTGATGGTAGTGATGGTGGGGATAAATGGTGGTGGGTGGTGGTGGTAGTGGCAGGGGTTGTATATGGTGATGATGATGACAATAAGTGGTGGCGATGACGGTGGCAGTGCTAGGTGGTGGTGGTGGGGGTTGATAGTGGTGGTGGGTGATAGTGATGGTGTTCGCATTGGTGGTAGGTGGGTAGTGGTGTTCATGGGTGATAGTGATGGTGGTAGCGGTGGCGGTAGTGGGGGTAGTTAGTGTTGGTGCTAGTGAGTGGTGACACAGGTGGTAGTGGTGGTGGTGGTGGCGGTGACGATAGGTGGTAGCGGCGGTAGGTGGTGGTGACGTTGGTGGTAGCGGTGATAGGTGGTGGTGGTAGTGTGACATCTCCATTTTCACAGCCAGAAAAGACCGATTTTTGTTTATGCTTGTGATAGGTGGTGGTGGTAGTGTGACTACTAAAGTTCATTCCTCAGGTACTAAATCTGTGGCTACGAGTGTAGGTACTAAGTCCATAGCTACCAATATTTACCTAACATCCACTAAGTCCATAACTGCCAAGTACTAAGTCTATAGCTACTATCACTTAACAGGTACTATGTCCATAGCCATCCGTGTTTACCTAATAGGTACTAAGTCCATAGCTACCAGTGTTTGTCCAATAGGCACTTAGTCTATAGCTGCCAATGTTTACTCACATCATCTTTCATCTCTCATCATTCATCTACCCATATCATACCCAACATATTTGTAGATATAAAATATGTATACAGTTTAAATCATTTAAAACATGTATAAAAATATTTCACCCAACATAGACAACAAGTATTCAGAAAATATGCACACATAACACATAATTTATATTAAATACTTCATATCTATGTGTAAGATGAAAGAGACCATGCACTCACTTGAAAAGATGGTGACTTGGTACTCGTACAACACTTCGTTATCTCAAAACAATTTTCCCTTGACAAAACCTAGTATCAATACCACTAGGGTTTAGTCTAACTTTAACCGCGACTAATTAATAGTTTAGCTAATATTACTATTATATAAGCGTTAAGCAACACTCTTATATAACTCATAACAATAGCCTAAATAATTATTTTAAGGTCCTAATAATATTACTATATCAAAACATAAGCTATACTAAGGATAGGATAGACGTAGCTCACTTACAACAGGTTTTTCTCAAAACTGGGCTCCGCTGGAGCAGCGTTCCTGAGCCGAAAGGTTCTTTTTCTCGGAGCCGTCGGGCGCTCCGGGGGGTTTCAGGGGCTAGAGAGAGGTTCTAAAGAGAGAGAGAGAGGAAGAAGTAGGAAGGTGTGAGAATGAATGGAGGTCTTACCACTTATTTATAGGGGCTGGAGGAAGGTTCACACCGTGAATTTGTGATATTCACGTTGTGAGCCAGGCTGGCTACAGCCAGGCGCAGCCTGGTGCTGACACGTGGCATTGCACACAGGGTGGAAATTAGCCGATTTTAAAAAATTCATAACTTTTGCATACAAACTTCATTTTCAGCGTTCTTTATATCTACGGGTACATAAAAATAAGATCTACAACTTTCATTTAGACTCCGTCAGCTAATTCTCGACCGATCTTAAATTTAACAGTACAAGGAGATTAGATTGTTAAATGGTCGCGAAGAATTCGTAACTCCTTCATACAAACTCTGTTTTCGTCTGTATTTTTACCGTTGAGTTCCTATTAATGAGATATTCAACTCTTATTTAGGTCGCGTAGGCCAAAAACCGCTCGAACTAAAATTTGAGTTTCGGACCGTACACTGCTAAGCTGAAACTTCGAAAAATCATAACTTCCTCATACGAAGTCAGATTTGGGCGTTCTTTTTATGGATGCTCTAAGGTTAACATATTCTACGACTTTCATTTAGATTACTAAGGCAAAAAATCCTCTATCAAAAACTCACTATTTACGTCTTCCGGTGCCGTGCCTGTTTTGCCGTAAAACTTTGACGGATCATAACTTCTTTGTTATAACTCGGATTTTGGCGTTCTTTATATGTACGGAACCCTTGAGACATATTATACAACTTGGTTAAGATTATTTATTCTAAATAATCTTTTGTCAAAAAGTTGTTTTCGACCCCTATTATCTCTAAATTGATTAGCCTGGATCTACGGGCGTTACAGGTAGTGGCGGTGGCAGTGGTAGATGTTTGTGGCGGTGACTGTGGCGGTAGGTGTCGGCGGTGGCGATGATAGGTGGTGGTGGCGGTGGCGGTGGTAGATGGTGGGGGCGGCAATGATGGTAACGGTGGTTGATGGTGGTGGAGGTGGTGACGATGATATGTGGTGGTGGTGGTCCCGATCGTAGTGGTGGTGGTGATGGTGTTAGGTAGTGGTGGTGGTGGTGGCGATGGTGGTGGTAAGGTGGGTGATGCCGGTAGGGAATTAATTTCATCATCTTCTTGAAAAAAAAAATGTTTTTCCTTATTTGATGGAAAAAAATTTCATTTAGGATTCCAATTTCATCATACAAAGTTGAACCAAACATTAAAATATGATGGAATTTAGATTCATTTTCCTCCGAATTCCATTCAATTACAGAAAACCAAATGCACCCTTAATATTCGATTATTCAATCTTTCAAATATTTTAAATATTCAAGGGAAAACCGCAATAAAGTTCCTACATATTGGCCTCATAATCGATTTAGCCATTATATATTTTTTTTATTCAATTAAGTCCCAAATACCGGTAATTGTATTCAATTTAACCCTTTGACCCGGTCAACAGGTCATTCAACTTTCAAAAATTACATTTTCGGCCCAGATTTCAAAATTTATTACAAATTTGGTCCAAAATTTACACTTCTGGCTCAGATTTTAACTTTTTTTACAAATTTGGTCCAAAATTTACCCTTTTTGCCCAAATTTTAGAATTTTTATTATGAATTCATCATAACTTTAGTTTTCTTTACAACTTTTTTTTTTATCAAAAGTTTGTTTCTAATATGTTTTTTCTTTATACAAAAAAATATATATATTTTCACATAAAAATCTTATTTTTTCTATATAAAAACTTTTTTGTATATGAAATATCTAATTATAAAAATAGGTTTGGATTATTTGTGTCATTTCTCTTAAAAAATCAATTAAGAAATTAAAAATAACCCTAAATTATACTATTATATTATAGTTTGTCAAAAACTAGTTACACTCATTTTAATATTATTTATTTGTTCTTTAATCATATTTATAGTCTAAACTTAACTAAAAAACCTAAACTAAGTGTAGGAAAAAGATTCAAGTAAAAAAAACTTAAATTAAGTGAGTTATGTACATTTGAATAACAAAGTCAGATTACGTTTAATTGATGTAACATAAAAAAAATTCTGATTTGACACCCTTCCTTGCAGGGCTTGTAACTTATTCTATTTTTAACCAAATCAAACGTTTTTATAGTCTAAACTTAATTAAGAATTCTAATCTACATGTAGGAAAAAGATTCACGTCAAAACAAGTTAAATTGAGTGAGTTATGCAAATTTGAACAACAAAGTCAGATTACGTTTAATTGTTGAAACATAAAAAAAAAATCTGATTTGACACCATTCCTTGAGGGGCTTGTAACTCATTCAACTTTTAACAAAATCAAACGTTTTTATAGTCTAAACTTAACTAAAAATCCTAATCTACATGTAGGGAAATTATTCAGGTAAAAAAAAAAGTTAAATTGAGTGAGTTATGCACATTTGAATAACAAAGTCAGATTACATTTAATTGCTGAAACATAAAAAAATTATGATTTGACACGCTTCCTTGCGGTGCTTGTAACTCATTCAATTTTTTTTTAATCAAATCAAGCGTTTTTATAGTCTAAACATAACTACAAATCCTAATCTGCATCTAGGAAAAGATTCAGGTCAAAACAAGTTAAATTGAGTGAGTTATGTACATTTGAACAACAAAGTCAGATTACATTTAGTTGCTGAAACATAAAAAAATTCTGATTTGACACCCTTTCTTGTGGGGCTTGTAACTCATTCAATTTTTAACCAAATCAATCGTTTTTATAGTCTAAATTTAACTACAAATCATAATCTACATGTAGGAAAAAGACTGAGGTAAAAAAAGTTAAATTGAGTGAGTTATGCAACTTTCAAAAATTGAGTGGGTTATTTGGTCCGGTTCCCGGTTTTGGGCCGGTTCCAATGACCGGTTCTTACCGGGTCTCGGTTCAAAAAACTGACGAAATTATAGTATCGGTCCCGGCCCGACCGGTTCCATCGAGTTCTGGTTCCGGTTCTGAGACTGGTTTTGACTAGTTCCCCGATCTATATGCTCATTCCCAAGAGTTAGTGAATATATTTGTTGTTGGCAACTAATTGCAAGAATATAGATGAAAGTGAGATGATTAGAACTTTAAAAGAAAATATTGTTATATAAGTTACAAGATAAAATTAGGCCTAACAATTTTCGACACGACACAAAATAAACGAATTTGGGTTGAGTTTTTCAACCCGTCAACCCGTTTATTAAACATGTCATATATGAGTTTCTAAAAATATATACAGGTTGACCCGCGAACCCGTTTAGAATTATAATTATTATTTTTTTTATATATTTTTTCAATGTATGAAGTATTATACACTATAGAGTTTATACTTTATACCAGGATATGATATCCCATATCATTGACCATTTGACCTGTGGGTAACCATTTACTAATTTACATTGCAACACGTTTGATGTTTGTCATAAATAATCTCATTATATCAAAACAAAATCGAATAAGACTTCTCTTGGTCTCCCCTTTGTGATGAACAACAAAATGAACTTACGAAGAACGACAGCATGAATGATTGAATCATTATCGAATGACGTCGATGCCTGGTATTTAATTTATCTATGTTTGTATTAGTGTTTTAGTTTGAACATGTTTCTATGACTGTTTTTAATTTTCATTTAGATGTTTATGACTTAAGTTTCTAAAATTCAGATATGTTTGCATCAAGAATTTATTCATGTTTAATTATCAATTTTGTTTATGGAATCTGACCCACAAACACACGAACCCAAATCTGACCCACAAACCTCTGAACCAAAATCTGACCCACGAACCTATGAATCCGTATAAATAAGTGGGTTGACGGGTCATGTATGAATTTTTGTTCCAAACCCGTCAACCCGTGACCTATATAGTTAAATAGACCGTATTTTGGTTGACATATTTTGATCCGCTAATCCGCCAACATGCGACCCACCAACCTGAACACGACACGATTGTCAGACCTAGATAAAATCATTAAAGAGCATTCATTAAGTTTTAGTTTTCACTTCATGATTCAGTTGTGCTTATAAAATTTGAAGAATATTTATTAAATAATTTAATCAGTTTTAAAAGCATTGACAAGTGAGAGAAGCATGTATAATGTGTTTTTATCAATTAATTTATAGTGGTAGCTTTCATAGTCAATCAATCCATTCGTTATGTTTAGCTATAAATTTGCATGTTTACCCGAAAAGAAAGACATATCACATGGTTAATTTTAATCTATAATATAAAATTATACACTAATTGATTTGATGGTAGTTTTAAACCGGTCTTAGTCTTTAACTAGTTTAGGACTGAAACTGATTTTAATTTCGAACTTATTTCAATATGATTTAAATAGGTATTTAAACCAAAAGAAGAATTATTTAAGAACTAGATGCCCGGTCTAGGACTAGGATTGGTTATAATCACTATAGTCTTTTTTAGGATCGATTTTAGGTCTGTTTAGAAACAATTTCAATTTTTGATATGATCGATTTTAGGCCTGTCTAAGAACAATTTCAATTTTTGACTTGATATTTCATATAACTATCATTTTAAAATCGCATTCATGGCTTTGAATTCTTACTAACATATGTGTTGGTTAAAGGTTTTTACAATCTTATCTCAAGCATCGCTCGTATACAATATATCTATAGTTATAAAATCTAATGCTAGAAATGAGTTCATCAAAACGAATCAATTAGTTCATCCAAACCTAATTGTGTATTGTTGCAATGTAAAAAACAAATTCTAGAATAGTTACCCTATCAAGAAAGACGACTCCAATTGTTTTGATATCTTATGTGTCGCCCTGGGTTACATGATAAGATTCATTTTATATACAATGTTAAGTTGTAGTTATAGTTTGATTAAGATTGTTGTGATTGATTGTCTAACTCATTAGTGTAGATTATAACATTTATAAGTTGCATATATCCAATGATCTTTATAGCAAGCGCCCTCTTAATGAGAATACTTGGTAAACATGTTCTTAATGGTTCACAAGGATGGAAACCACCAAATCATCCCCTAGCCTACAAAGTGGGAATCTAGCCATCATATGCGTGATGACTAATTCCAATGATATGACCATTAGATATGTCTTCTCAAATACACATCATAGATTTTGTTTTTAGAAATTGACTATGAATTTGCTATCTTTTCTAAATGCCTAATTAGTAATAGCTGTATCAAGATCAATATGGTTCAATATGTCATTCTCGACATGTAGTCAAATCATTCAATTTTTTTGTGATAATGATGACATCAAATAATTTTTTTAAAACTTCAACTTTAAAAAACTACTCTTTACAAATTGAAAGGTCAATAAGAGTCTCTATGTAATGTAAACATTCCAAATATCGAAAACTTCTTAATTTCAATAGCAAACATCATCTTATTCGGTAAATTCATTTGCAGCTATTGCAATTCAGAAAACAAATCATTTGAATCTACATCAACCCTACCCTCAAGAGAAAATGTAGTTGTAAACTTAATACACAACATTTTATACTATTAGATTTGGAAGTAGGATTGGGAGTTTAAGGACTATCAATCTTTCCCTATCGGCTATTTATTATAAGGTTACAATGGTGGAGACTTAAAGAAAACAAGGCTATTTGTTATAAGATTATCCGAGCAATTAAAAATAATGAAGAGAAGTATTCCGCTTTTAAAGTCTTCAATTGCAAATTGGGGATCTGACGCAATATGGTAAGAATCGAGAAAGAGCTGTCAAAATTCATAATGACACAAGTGAAAAATCTAAAACTAGAGCTGCCGGAGTCAAACTTGATCAAGATTTCAACTCGTAGCCTCTATGATAGATTCGACTCATGATGTTTATTGATCCAAAGTATGTATGGAAGTACTACAAATGGGAGAAGCCAGAATGTGCAGTCTTTAGAGTTCATTTGCTATATCTGCCAATGATGAGTACGTTCCCACGACCATGCAAACGATGCCCAACACCATAATACAAATGCTCAAACCAATCTGCAAACATTTTAACAACCCTCATTGTCAATTTCGAAGAACAAGGATAGAAGTACAAAATCTTTTGATTAAATGATCCAGATTATGTCTTATAATTTACCTGCGTAGTCGTGGCCTTACTCCCACTGATCATCAAAAAGCATAGAGATGGCAATATGAGAGACTGCACCAAAAACACGTATGAGCCATGATAAGAGATAAAAGAAAACGAACAAGGATATGAAATGCTAAACTCGAGATTGCATGCTTAATTACCACCAAAATACATAAGACTGAACCCATCAAAGCCATCACAAGACCTGTATTCAAGAAACAAAATCATTTGTATCATTCAATGTGGTTGTGAGATTATTGAAAAGACGATGTAATTTAATTGATCAATACCGAAGAAGGGAATAGATAACGCAATGCAGACAGAGGATGCAACAAGTGCAATCCGTAGAGTAATAAAACACCAATTGCTACGTGCAACTTTAGCAGGAAACAGCTCTTCGATGGCACTTGCCAAAGGGTTCATCAACAGGGCATACGTATGAAATGTTAAGGAGCGACTGTTCAATAGTTTGCATAATCCTCTTGTTGTATCAAAATCCATTTCAAATATGAATTTAAAACTTCCATTGTAGACCTTAAAGAGATGACATGTGAGATTTGAAATACAAGAATTAAAATTTTACGTTTCTTTAATATTTATAAGTTATATTATATCACAAAAAGGATATTTCGTGACCGGATTGATAATCTGTAAATATGTAAAAGTATGTTAAAAACCCATAGTCGAAAAAGTAAAACCATGAAAATAAACCAACCAATGAACACTTACTACAGTCAACAAAGCAACTTTAGAAGCAACTGCATCCTCAGGCATGTTCAATGTTATCTGGGACAACGATTGTTCTCCAAACATGAGAAAACCCGCAATTGCAACACTCCCATACATCAAAAGACACAAAATAAAGCTGCAAAAGAATCGAGTGGAAGGTTGATCAAGAGTTATGATATATCATAGCCAGTAATGAATCATCACTCATCAAGTTCTTGAGATGTTTTTCACGTTTTTCTCAAGTAGTACTTAGATTGATATTGAAATTAAAGTGTCTCACCATATTATCATTGCCTTGGTAAACTTGGTTTTATCTGCCATTGACTGGTATATATTTGGGAACACACAATGTCCAGAAAAGCAAAATCCGTATATACCAAGTGCGAAAGCAATGCCACCCAATTTTATAGGTGGACCTCTTTCATTAAAGCCCACGTTCACTGTACCCAGCCAAAATACACAGATGATGACCATAAGAGTAGCCACAACACCAGTAGCTGCATGCAAATCGATAGAAGATTGTATATTCTTAATTCAACAAAGGGAGAGCTAAAATATATACACCATTAATGATGAACAACTTTACCCGAAAATAATGAGATCACTCGGGGGTTTTTTACTAAAAGCGTAGATCCCATAACCACAGCAGAAAGAACTGCAAACATGTGAACCGGGTCGGTATTGACGCTACCCCATTGCAGCGATACACCAGGGAACAAACTGGTGAGATTGTCTCCTTCCAATATAATGAACTCCACACAATATGCCTAAATTTTAATAGCCAAAATCAAGGTTTGAGCTATAAAATAACCAATCATGGACGACTAAGAAATAGTTTACTTACATAAAGTGACGTGTACAAAATGATCTGCACGAAAAGAATTGAGTGGATTAATCAGTATCGAACTGAAACTATTAATTAACAATACATAGGTGGTTAACTTTTCAAACCAATCTTGCTTGGATTTATGTTGCAAAGAGATCATCTTTCTTATGAGTCACAAAGATGCAACAAATACACTATTGTCGACATAAGTTAGTTGATCTTGGACACCAAGTGAAATAAATTAAACTTACTGCTATTGTAAGGCGTCCGTATTTCCCAAATGCAGCTTCTCCAATATCGGGATATGTTTGAATGGTGTCTCTACTCTCGAAGCAAAGTTTCATGAGATAAGCCGTGTAGCAACATATTGCTGCAAAAAGGAGTAGGATTCCTACGCCAGCCCAGCCAGCGGTAGCTATTGTATTTGGCATAGAAAGAACTCCAACTCCAACCATCACATTCACCGCTGATACAACACATATACCAGTAAAAGTCTGATTAATAGAATGATCAACAAAAACGTGATAAGATGTTATATATGATTTTGAGCTTTTCTCACAATTGAAAACAGTCTGAGTGACGCTACATCCAAAGGCAATGGGAAGCTCATCGATTAGTTGATCAGGCAAAGAACCCTTTCCTGACCATGTTGATATCTTTCTTGAAATCCTATCTACATCCTCTTTGCTAAAAACCTTTGAACATTCTATCAGCAACTTAGACTTTATATTATCACCAAAGTTAGCGGTACTACTATCAATCCCCGGTTCATACATTGAATATATAGACCCCGATGGGCGTCTAAGGAATGCCACACTTGGTGTTGCTGAAATTGAGTACGAATCAAGTGTATACCTGCAATAATTAATGATATATTGTGTGGGTATATATAAGACTTCAAAAAACTAAACAAAATTAACTCATCTTTTTTCAATTTCTTTTTTTGAATATCAGTAAATTAAGAACCCAACAAGCGAACAGTTCAATATATACTACTTCTAAAATCAACGTTGAACCCTAATTTTATTGCAAACCATCATAGAACATAGGCTTATCATTTCTACATGGCATTGTGTTCGAGATTATTAACAAAATAAATAAATGTAAATCACAAAAAAACAGGCATATATATATAAATTAACGTCAAGAAAAGCCAAAACTGAAGCATATGAACGCAATAGATGAAACTGAAACTAACTTGTAACTCTGTGGCCATTGACCAGTAGCTTGAGAAAACGACGATCTACGACTGGAAGCATCATCGGTGTCATCATCATCACTGTTATTTGCTTCTATATCATCATTCTCGTTGTCATCATAATCGTCTTCGATCGCGAAATAATCTGTGTCCTTCGCTTTACCTGCCATCTTCTAAATCAGAATTTAATTAAATTCCAAAACGCATAAAGTTTACGCGATACCCAGATCAGAAGTCATAAAAATTCTCTATCTTTTTCGATCTACTAATACCATGGATCAAAGATGCAGGCTAATTCACGGATACATTAATGTAAATGTACGTGTCAGGATCTTGATGCGTCCTCATATGCATCTACTCGACCATGAGACTTGTCTGTCATAATCGCGTAGACGTGATGCGAGTTGCGAAAAGTAAGGAGGAGAGAGATGATGAATCGACAGACAGTTGTCGAAGTATGATGTTTGTTTATAGATGAATAGGTAACATGGAAGTTCCATGGACAACGACCGACGCGGATAATGGGTTTGAATGGAGAGGTGGATTTGTCTTTTCGTAACCCATTTTGTCATACCGAATAAGATTGGGTTATATTATTAAAAAAATGGAAACTCTTATGTACTTGACAATTGACATGGGTCTCATTGGTTCATCTAATTTTATACTTTATCTTTGATCGCATGCCATGCGTATGTGAAAAGAAAAATATGACAGAAGAGCAATCTTTTGGAATATGAAAAATATGATTTTGAGAAATACTAAAGATATTGTTATAAATAGTTAGTCAGTTGAAGGTCGAGACATGGGCCAACTGATGATCAATTTTCAATCGGGGTATGTTCAAATGATAATATTATCCAAAACGAAAACATTTGAGAGCATTTTTTAGATATTCTTTTTCTATGTGTCTCTCATCTTTCTATCTCGACATATCTCTCTTCTCTTTCTCTCTCTAGGTATCTCTTGAGGTAATCTCAGCCACCATCACCATCAATTGACATCCACCGTAATCATCGTAATGATGCCAGAACCACATAACGTTGTCGTAATCATCATTACGACGCCAGAATCATCGGACGGACAACTGATTCTTCATTCTCTTTGGATCTGTTTGGTTTCTCGATCTCGAATCAGAGTCTCTGACTTCCGGCAGCAGCTTACCTAGAGAGAGGCTATTATTTCCAAACTTTACTCTCAGATCTTGCTTTGTTCAACTCAAAGAAAATGCTAGCTATTGGGTGATGTTTGTTTTCTTTTTAAGAAGCAATTCAGAAAAAGGAGAACTACGATGCAGACTATCCATTATGAACCTTACAATTCACAATCCATTATATCAGTTGTGTATTATTTTCTTTTAGAAAGACTCTTATAAAATTATTACGATGCATCATAAGTTCTCTATTTGCTTATGTCAGTTTTGATCTTGAGCAATTTTTTAAGCATCAGAAGTTGGAAATCATGCCACCGATCTACAAATATGATGCTTAATCTTAGCTATTACAACTAGAAATTAGTTCGCTAGTGGTCTCTTCTCATACTCACCTCTGGTACATGGTTTACTTGTCGAAGCTCGATCTAAATACATTTTGCATGTTTCAGGTTTAATATATACAAAATGGAAAATGCAATGGGTCAAATGATTCTTACTTGCTCCTATTGTGAAGTTATTTGGTCAACTGTGCGTGGTACTCTAAATATGATAGCAAAAAGGGGAAATGAGCCTTGCACACCAGGTGTTCAACTAAATGCTTGAAGGAGTAGTCTTGCCTAAATCAAACCCTCTGACATCACCTAGTGTACATGAAGACAAAGTGATACATGATCTCTACGACCTTTTTATCTTAAAAGAATTCCACTGAAGCAATTGTGCCTTAGTCATCTACAATATCTGTCTTGTTTAGTCAAAGGTAATCCTACGATTTCTAACAACTTTTAGATTAATTATGATATGGTGGAAATTAGGCTGCTAATGGTTTACAGGTTTTGGATGCTTTGGGAGACTCGATTCCCTATGTCAAACTAACTTTACTTTAACTTCTTGCAACAATACTCATAGTTGTACACATCTTGAACTTGTTACAAATCGATTTCCATGTACAACCACTTCCAACAATACAAGTATAATGCATACTGCAGGTATGAATCTTGATATATCAACATAGAATGTCAATTTAGCTTACTTGCAAGCATTTAAAGACTACGTATATCAACAGAGAGGTGTATTTGTAACATCCATAAAATTCAAACAAATTTAAAACTTTTTCAACTAATTAAAAACTATTAATAATTACAAAGTGTTTTCAAAATAGTTTCATGTCAGAGTATCCCAGAAATCAAAATCATAAAAATGTGAGGAGTTGTACGATAATGCCTTCGCCTTCCTGCGATCATCCGAAGTACCTGAAACCAAAACTGAAACTGTAAGCCCGAAGGTTAGTGAGCTCCCCCAAAATACCGATACATAACAAATAATACCCATAATAACATGTAATGGATCCACATCTCTACATACTGGATTACCATTGGGCCTACAGTGTGAGTCTGGCTTGCCTTTTGGGCCCACAGCTCACATCTGGCTTGCCTCCAAGTCCACATTTGAAACGACCCAAAAATACGACCCAAAAATTTCGTTTTTAATACCATCAAAACTATAATCAGAGTATCATATAAATAAACCATGCGTGATATGTCCCAAAATATAATAAAGTACTGTGCGGAAATTGTAACATGCTATATCCAAAAACAACAACTAAATCAAATCCAGACTAAAGCTGAAACGGTGGTGTGTGCGATGCCGTCATCCAGAGCTCTTCCCTTTGCTTGCGGAAGTACCTGAAACCAAAACTGAAACTGTAAGCACGAAGCTTAGTGAGCTCCCCCAACTTACCACATACCATACAACAACATATAAACACATATTGGGCCTTGCCCACTGCATCGGGCCGGGGACCGGAAACTGCATCGGACCGAAGTCCGGAACTGACTGGGACCTTGTCCCCTGCATCGGACCAAAGTCCGGAACTAACTGCATCGGACCGGAGTCCGGAACTAACTGCATCGGACCGGAGTCCGGAACTGACTGCATCGGACCGAAGTCCGGAACTGGCTGCATCGGACCGAAGTCCGGAACTGACTGCATCGGACCGAAGTCCGGAACTGACTGGGACCGTGTCCCCTGCATCGGACCGGAGCCCAGAACTGACTGAGCATAGCATAGCATATCATAACAAACATATTGCATACTGCATCGGGCCGCAACCCGGAACATAAAACACATAACACATAGCACATGAATTATGTCTGAACCACGAAGGCATCAAACATACTAACTACTTCATCGGACCGAAGTCCGGAAACTACTATTAACTGGACGGGCCGGCATTGTGGCCTTAGACCCGCCCCTACGGGAAGGAAACTCACCTCGTAAGCTAGCGGATGAGTGTGCGGCTCGGAAAGCTAACGGCTGCTGCTCCTGAATCTCCTCGGCTACAAATCCATAAACACACTCAATCAATCACTAGCACTACACTCAGGGTAAAATGACTCTTTTACCCTTGGTCAAAGTTGACTTACTCAGGGCTGACTCGCCGAGTCGGGATATCCGACTCGCCGAGTCCTAGACTCTCCGTTCAACTCTTACATGCTGCTACTCGTCGAGTGTGGCATCGACTTGACGAGTACCCTCTGGATCCAAGAACTCAGATGATCTTCATCCGACTCGCCGAGTCAGATGAACAGACTCGACGAGTTGTTCTTAATCCTCAAGAAGATTGCCTTGGACTCGCCGAGTTGTATGAACAAACTCGCCGAGTCCCTCCATCACTGAGTCTACTCTTAACTCGCTGAGTCCACTCCCTAACTCACCTCGTCCACTCGACACTGAAGAAACTGAAGAACTCGGGACTCGCGACCTGACTCGTCGAGTCGTTCTTCCGACTCGCCGAGTCGCCGCCATGCAACATATTTTTACTCGATTTCTCTTGAATCCAACACATGCAAATGATAGATCTAGGTCCATTAAGCTGTTTTACCACGTAAAGTTTCCAACTTTACGTGCACAACCACATGAATGAGGGAAATAAGACTAAAATATGCACAATAAGGGTAGATCCATGGCTAATAAGCAATGTAACTCCAAAAAGACAGTGGATCTGGACTCTACAACACCCCAACACTCAGATCCAAAGGTATTTCGGCTTAATAACACATTCAAGCAAGCATAAAGCTTGGAACAAGCATCAAATAGCCCTTAAAAGAGCTCTAATGGAAGTTTAAGCATGAAACCAGAAGAGAACTCCGAAAATACCTCAATAAGTTCACACTTGATCTTGGATCTTGGCACTAGAACTCGTTTCCTTGCTTCCTTCTTCTTCTCCTTCTTCACCCCTTCACAAAATGGAACAAGATCACTTATAAGCTCACAAGAGGGAGGTTTAGGGTTTCTCACAGTGCTCTCAGGGGGAAAGTGACGAGATGGAGGCTATAATGGGGTTTAAATAGTGAGCAAACCCGGGGAGTTAGGGTTTCACCCAGACGGACGGACTCGCCGAGTCCAGGGTATGGACTCGCCGAGTCGCCGGCTCCCGCGTGCACAAGATGCGCGACCCGACTCGGCGAGTCAGGCTAGAACACTTCCTCAACTGCGACACATGGAAGGTGTTGTGTATCAAACTGAGCTCCTCGGGAAGATCTAACCGGTAAGCAACCCGACCCACCCGGGCCAAAACCCTGAAAGGACCAATAAATCTGGGGCCCAATTTGCCCCTCTTCCGGAACCTGATGACACCTTTCCAAGGTGAGACTTTCAGAAGAACCATGTCTCCTACCTGGAACTCCAAGTCTGAACGCCTCTTGTCGGCGTAGCTCTTCTGCCGACTCTGCGCAATCTGCAGTCTACTACGGACCTGCTGGATCAGTTCCGTCGTCTTGAGCACCACTTCGGTGCTCCCCATAACCCGCTGACCGACCTCGCCCCAACAAATCGGGGTCCTGCACTTCCTGCCATATAACATCTCAAAAGGAGGTCGATCAATGCTCGCATGATAGCTGTTGTTATACGAGAATTCCGCTAAGGAAGATACGTATCCCAACAGCCCCCAAAATCCAGAACGCATGCCCTAAGCATGTCCTCGAGAGTCTGAATCGTCCTCTCGCTCTGCCCGTCAGTCTGAGGATGAAAAGCGGTGCTGAAATGGAGACGAGTACCCATCTCGTCGTGAAACCGCTTCCAGAATCTGGACGTGAAGCGAACATCTCGGTCCGACACTACCGATACCGGCACTCCATGACGTGCCACAATCTCTCGCACATAGATATCGGCTAACCTTTCCGCCGATATACTCTCCTGGATCGGAATAAAATGGGCACTCTTCGTCAATCGATCCACCACTACCCATATCGAATCTACTCCACGTGCGGTCCTGGGAAGTTTGGTGATAAAATCCATGGTGATGTCCTCCCATTTCCACACGGGAATGTCCAATGACTGCATCTTGCCGTGAGGTCTCTGGTGCTCCGCCTTGACCTTCCGGCAGGTCAAGCACCTCTCAACGTA